ATGAGACTGCATGTGATTCGGCCCAGAATTGTACATAGGTTCAGGAGGGAGCAATAGAGGGGTAATTTAGTGAAAGTACAATGGACCTCTTCAACTCTGATGACAATGATGATTCCTTTGCTTGGATTATGGAGGTCTACAACGAAGGAGAACAAAGCTCCGCAGACCCCTTACATTCCTGTCTTGGTTGCCGGGCGTGGTGATGGCACATACCTTTAATCTCAGCATCTGGGAGGTAGAGTCAGGTCAACCTCTATGAGTTTGAGGACAGCCTGGTCAACAAAATGAGTTCCAAGACTGTTACACAGAAAAACCCTGTCTTGAAAACAAAAAACAAAAACAAAAAGTTCCTGTCTTGGTTTCCCTCCATGATGGACTATAATCTGAAAGCCAAATAAATCTTTCCTCCTCCAAGTTGGTTTTTGTCAGTGATATTCACAGTGATAGAACAAAAGCTAGAACAGGATTGAAAACTTGGTGTTCTTTTTGCAGCTGAAATTTAAAATATGATATAACGGGAGGGTAGGAAAGACATCCTTCCATGGTTGAGTAGTCTGTGTACACACAACTTCTGATTCATTTCTTCGGGGTAATAGTCTTCCTTCTCGGTCTTCTTTCTCTCTCAGCATTCCTACATAAACTTACTCCTTTTAGGAACATGCATTTCACTCGGTGGTAAGGGAAGGGTTCAGGGCAGTGCATGGAACGTACATGCCTGACAAAGCTCTTTCAATGGGGACATGTAGAAGGAGGTGTTTCCACTGCTCTTCTCCTGAGAATCATTCTGGAATGGTTTGGGGCCAGTGCCTAAAATTCTTCCTAGCTTCTCAGTGCTGAGAAACAAGTTATTTCTCACGGTTACCAGCTGGAAGGTCAGATTCGCAGTCTTCTTTATCAGGGAGTCCAAGGTCTCTTAGGGCAACACATTTCCCTGGCACCCTCTGGTCTCCAGATCCATGAAGTCGGTCAGTGGTGAGGATGTGTAAGAGCCCCCGTGTGTGTGGGCTAGGACAAATGACATGCCTTCTCAAACAATTCCATGAAAGCTCAGCAAACTTGTAAAGATGGGAATCAATGATTATGACCTATATTTTTTATTTTATTTATATATACCAAAGGACTTTTGCATGTTATAAAGTAGATCAATTCGTGTAATCTGCAAAGCACTAATTCTGCCTGCCTCTGTTCCTTCTAAGAACCGGCTTTCATACTTTGTGAACCAAAATAACCCACGCTAAATATGGAGCTATATAAATGAAATGAAGTATTTTAGTCATATTTTTTCCTCTGGCCAGATTTACCGCATTTCATTATTCTGCCGCCTACCATTGCTTTGCAATCCCTAAGGAAATAATGAGATGAAATTGAGAAGGGCAACAGAAAAGTAGGATATCCGATACTCCAGGTCGCAAATACCCAATCAGGTCACACAATGATTAAATTTAGCTCTTGTTAACCTGATTTCAAGTGCAGCTCAGTTCTGAGGGATGATGAGAAACAGCACGTTGGTTCCACATTATCAGAAAATTATTTCATCAGGACATATGGCTTTGACTTTGCCTGCCTGACAGAACATCAACACGACAGAGGCAGGGTCTCCTTTCAGAGAGGCCTGGATAGTCCATCTGCTCTATTAGCTCAGTGGGTTTATGTAGCCAGGGAGAACAGTAACCGACATGCCTTGCTGCCCTCCTATACGCATGCACGCGTGCATGTTCCCCGTCTCTACCTGTCCTGCCTGGGAAGGCACTACAGCCACTGATGATGTTGGTAACCGTGACATTCTTGACAGGAAGCCTCACTCGGGATGCGACCTTGTAGTTGGAGCTCCCTGCAGAGATCCAGTCCCAAACAAACACATTGACGTTTATTTTACTTAGAATCTGTTTGGCCGATGGCTCAGGCTTCTTATTGGCTAGCTCTCTCTTAATATTAACCCATTTCTATTTATCTAGGTATTCCTACATGCTCTTGGCTTACCCAGATATGCCCTGGCTGTGTTACTGCTTGGGCTCTACATGGCATCTCCCTGATGGCCCCTCTCTGCCTCCTCTCCCCAGCCTTCTCCTGGTCTGCTAGCCCACCTATCCTTTCTGCCTGGCTACTGGCTAATCAGTGTTTTATTCATCAACCAATACGAGAAACACACACACACACACACACACACACACACACACACACACACACACACACGGACATCCTTCATCACCACCTTGCTCAGAAGGAGGTCTCAGAGTGTAAAGAAACTGTTGGAGTCCAGAGGGAAGATGCAAGGATGGTCAAGGTGGTTCTCCAGCAAGGCTGTGTGATCCCCAAGGGATGGGAATCCAGGGGTAAAAAATGGGCATTCCCAACTCAAACTGTCTTACTGGTTTCGATTCATCAGTAATTTTGCTGGAAATATGGAGATGGACCAGAGGGCTTCTCCACATCTCTCAAAGTTGCCTGGTGTGTACTGTATGGCAGAGAGCTAGAGCAGAAAGTTTCCCTCCCTCCACAAGAATCCAGCTTCCATAATTTACATGAGGGAACTGAGGTGTCAGATTACAGGGTAACCACGAAAATAATATTCCTCCAGAGTCTCATTTTGCCCTCTTAAAAAGCCAACCCTTTTGTGGTGAGAAAAAAATCAAAGACTTAAAGAAGTTTATGTATACACAATTTAAAGAGTAGTATTTATTACAGCTCATCAAGTGATAGAGAGTGATAATGAGAAATAAATATGAACAAATTAGGAGTCATAACAGTGAGCTGTCCAGGTTATGCATGCGACACCCCCCCCCAGAGCGCTAGATGCCTCCTCAGAACGTCCCCAACAGCTACTCTTCTTGAGATAGTGGGAAAAGCAAGGTTGGATGCCTGAGGTTTCCCGAGTGGTTGAGCAGGTGGATGGCGGCATCATTATAGGGACGGCAAACTCAAATCTCCATCCAGTGAATAGAATAGCGAATCCAGATCCTGATGCATTTGTTATTGCATCAAACCTGAGTTGCCTATAACTCACTAAAGAAATAAGTGTCCGGGCTCACAACGTTTGCCTTTGGTGTATTCATCCTGCTCTGCTGCTCCCTCGGGAGGCTCAGCTGCTATGCGCTGGTAACCCCTGCCCTGGGTAGCCAGCAGTAGATACCTATACAGCCACAGGCTTTGGAAGAACGGTATTCCTGGAGCTGGTAAGATGATGCAGCACTTAAAAACACTCACTGCCCGAGCCTGGTAACCTGAGTTCAGTCACTGAATCCCACTGTGGAAGAAGACAGCCAGTTTCTACAAGTCGTCCTCTGACGAGGCTGTGGCATATATGCAAACTCACAGATAAACACGGAGAGAAAGACACACACACACATCATATATGTGTATATATGATAATCATCAATTTTTAAAAATCCTTCATGGAAATCTGCCTAATAGTCTCCAAGAATTTTAGTGCATGCCCCAGCATCCATCCCTATCCCAAGGTCTGCACCGTCCCTTTTAAAATACATCAGGCCCAGTAGCTCCCTTCCTTAGCCCCGCCCGCACCTGAAGGTACCTCTGCTTTGCCTTCCCTATTTTCACTTCTCATTTTCAGCAGTCTCTCTCTCCTTTCTGACTCATCTTTCCCTGTGGAGAGAAGCTATGTAGCCTGTCTCCCAAAGCCCAGAGATCTCTTTTTAGGGTTGCCCAGGAGGGTCTATGCACCATGTCCATGGAAATAAGCCATAAAAATAACAACAGTCCAGTCCAAATCCACCTTTGGGGAGGAAATTGTTCTGAAAGTTAAAGGATCACACCCTGAGAAATGCAGCTCTGACTGCAGTAATTGCAACCTGCTGCTATTGTGCAAAGATGTGCAGGAAACTACTTCCCCGGGAGCGTGGTACGTCTAAAGAAAGAACACGGGTCTCAAGTCCAAACCCTAATCCCTTATCCTTTCAAAGCAAGATACTACCACAAATCAAAGTCTTTCTGCACTGAATACATAGATATAGATATGTCTTGGCATCTGGTATCACCCTGGGTCATAGTTTCATCGATTTTATTTGATGAAGAAGAAGAAAAAAAAATCACATGTTGATCTGGGAACATGAGCTAGATGACGTGTAACCCACTTTGCTCTCTTTAAGTAGTTAGAAATAACCTCGAATCCCAGGGGCGCAAGTGCCGTGTGGGATGCCAGCCCCAGGATCCCTTGCCTTCTGCCCTCTTCTAAGAATGCCAGCTTCTAGAAAGGGGGTGGTTCAAGTCAGAGCTCCAGACAGTGGAATGGTAAGTCTGGGAGCTGTTTTGCAACACTATTTAATCATGTTGCAAAAATAGGCAGCTTCAGTCATGCTGGGAACAGACAAAAACAGTAGTTGGTGGAAATACAGCGAAGAAATCCTAAAGTCTGTCTGAACATGACATGGTTACTGCTCACAGGAACTCACAGCAACCATAATTACCTGCCAGCCAAAATGTCAGCATGGATGGGCAAGGAGCCCTGGAGGCCCCGCCCCTCTGGGAAGAACTATTGGCCGTTAATGGCTGCTGAGGGAGTAAATGACCACACACCAGTGAGCATATGGACAGCACTAATTGTGTTCAGTGAGTTACTAATAACAATAAAAAAGGACATGAAGCCAGGAGGAAGGCAGGCTGAGGAGGCAGTAGAAGGAGCTAGGGAGAGGTAGAAGCAGACAAATATAATCAATATACATTGAATAATTATGTGAAACTTTGAAAGAATAAAAGTATATATTTTAATTAAAAAAAGAATCCTGCCTCCTGTACTTTCAATTTCTGTAAATTTAAAGCAATTTGGTAATATTTTAAAAGAAGTAACACAGTGATCTTTGTCACTTAGAATGTCATGGTTTGAGGGAGGAGACGGGATGGGTTTGGGGCGGCTGCTGAGCAAGTGTGGAAGTTGTTTGGTACTTTGTAACGATTTTAACCTAAAGCAGCTTGGAAGCCCTTCCTGTCACTCTCTTTCGAAGTGCACTCCTTTGGGTGCTAAAACCATGGTCTCTACCTCTTAGCTGGGACTTCACAACCACGTGTGCCCCGTGTCCAAAGCATCACATTTACGTCTCTGTCAACGTCTTGGAAAGTTCTGTGGTCGTGATTGCCTTTGTGTTCTATCTCTCCATCATTTAGCCTCAGCCTGATGAGAAGAACTATGATTGCACTCTCAATGTCTCTAACGAACATAGGAACCTGCATATGCATGGTGTGGGCCAGGACAGGGCAGGGACGATTCACCTTCTCTCCATCCACATCAATGCCTTTCACTCGGTGTGAACTGCCGGCACAGCTCCTGTGCAACCAGCCACCAGGTTTTCCCTGGTACAGCCAAAATCCCATGAGTGTTTTAAACAAATCTTCTAAAATAAGGCCAATTCTAAATGTCACTGTTTGCCATGCCTGTGGTCCCGAGTTCTTACTTTTCAACAGTATTGTGCTTGGGAAGTTTCTACTGCCCTTCTCCTACAGACGCCCTCATATTCTCCAGGTGGACTTGGGAGACATCACTGTGTGTGTGAGGGGCGCATTGAAGCTGATGGAGAATTTTATCCATCATGATTATCTGGAAAGAAACCCACACATGAGCATGTCTGAAGGAGACAATGGGAGGGATGGGGGGGTGTGGAGACCAACAAGGCATCCGTTGAGGCCACCAAGAGTCTCCCACTGAAATGTTGGCTGCGCTGAAGTCCAGAGACCCTGTGGGTTGAGTCTTCTGCCCACTGCCCCCTAAGAGTTAGTTACAGGACTTCAGGGTTGCTGTTTAAGTTTCTACTGCTTAGAGTTTTACCAAAAGATGTGCGCCACTCTACAGGACCCAGGGAAGAGGACCGGAGCGTAGCATAGTAAAGAGCAACGGGGGTCGTGAGATGTTACCACCAGCACTTAGACAGCAGAGCTGCCATCCGGAGTGTGCCTCTCTCTGGATCATTAGAAAAGACTTCTCTGTGAGCCGGAGATGTGCAAGAACTCCTGAGAAATGGACAGAGGAAACCAAAACAAAGGACGACATTTGCATACTGAAGATGTACAGTAGATGGTGGCGGGAAGCATGCGCGTTTCCGTCTCTCTTCACAGACTAGCGACTTCATTCCTCACATCTGCTGCCCTTCCCCCCCCCCCCGCATGAAAGAAGAAGAGCAGACACCCTCATGCTGAAAATGAGGGAAGGCATGGAAGGAAAAGGAAGGCAGATGTTTTCCAGCGATGGCATCCAACGGCAGGTTGCCAGGCAGCTCCGCTCTCCCATCCTGACTCACTCAACAAGTATGGACTGTGTCCAGAGTGCTTTGACCTTTGGCTTAGTACGGATTCGTGAGCTTCAGGTAAGATTGAGCCCAAACTGTATGTAATCCAGAGACCTTCCCGAAACAAAGCCAGACAGCAATAACAGAAACAAACCCTGAGATCTGAGTGAGCTACAAGTCTGGCGTTTGCTCCCTGTGTCTGCAAGCACTATTGGTTGCCTAAAGCAGGTTGAATCCTTTTCCGGCTGTGTCCAGCCGTGTCCAGGTGTCCAAATGTCTGCTGCTGTCACAGAAAGGATCATGGAGTTCCCTGGCAGACTAGGGGAAGAGAGGTGGCTGGGAAGAAGAGGCAAGGCTGGAAGGTTGCACAGCCCTTTATAGCTGGGGAGCAGACAGTGGTGGGGTGTGTCGTGGTTGCTTGCCATTTCACAGGTTTTCATCTTTAATATGAATTAATAAAGACATTGGGTGTCATTTGTAAGTGGAGCACAGATCAGGTCTGTCCCTCTAGCCAGCTCCCAAATAACCACACTGAGATTCGTTATTAATTATAAATGCTCATCCAATAGCTTAGGCTTGCTACTAACTAGCTCTCATGTCTTAAGTTAACCCATATTGCTTACTATGCTGTACCACGTGGCGGTGTGGCATGTTCACCTCCCGCTTCCTCCACATCTGGCTGGCGCCGCCCTGACTCTGCCCTTCTTCCCAGTGACCTCCCGCCTAACCTGTTCCTGCCTAACTACTGGCCAGTAGGTCTTTATTCACCCAATCAGAAGGTGCCTTGACAAAGACAGATTACTCCATAACACTAACATCCTTTGTATCCTTCTAGAGACGCTTTACACATGTGCAAGAATATCCCCACGCTCCCACACACCACTCCCCACAGCAGCATCTCTGAGTACCATTCTGATCACCCTCTACCAGTACTCAGTATCTGGATATCTGCCATGTAGCTAAAGTGCTCTACCGATGAGTATTTTGATCTCAGCCTTCACTGCTATCCTCACACTCTGGGCACTTCCTCTCTGCACTGGGGATCCAGCTGGAGCTTTACCTCAGTTCCGACTCCAGCCTTATTTTCACTCTTTGAACACTGTACCCCCACAGCGCCAAAATTACTCTCGGCAACATGCTGTTTCCCGTATCCGCTAAACGAGTTATCTCAAATGCCATCTTTGGATCAAAGGAGAGATTCGTTTTTAATATGGGCAGGCCTTGTCCAATAAGAGCCATATGTCTCACTGCTGTTTACCACAGTAGTAACACTGGGAAAGTTAAAAATAACTGAGAAAATGTGATGAGAAATAAAACTCCAAATAGGGCATGGACAGAAAAGCATATATAGGTGAGCACAAGTCCAGAAGGTTAGGACCAAAGAAAAATGCGGTAAAGAAATGAGAAAATGTGAGAGGAAGAGAAAAGCCGGGGAGTCCTAAAGGCATGGAAGACAAATGAAAATTATTTCTAAAAGAGAATTATCAAAAGGAGTGGCAAAGGGTTTTTGGGGGAAGTAAGGGGCACAGATGTTTTTTTCCCCCCAGAAGAATCCAAATTCTATAGGTTAGGTTTCACAGCAATGTGAAGGTTTGGAATAGTGGAGAACTTTACATTTTAATCCTACAGATTTCCAGAAAGAATACCCGAGCAGGATGCTGGGCCCCATCACAAGGCAACTGCAAAGCTAACGGCAGAGGGTCCAGTTCTCCATTGCTCTGGGAGTAAAGTGAGTTTCTGACCTACACGTCTGCACCCAGCTTGGGCCCATGGCTCAGAGCACTGTAACAGTGAGTCGGACAAGCAAGGTCTGCAAATTATCAACGCCTGTGTTCCCTTTACCAGTAACTACAAAACATGCTTGTAGTGGGATATTCACTTTGTCTCCTTCTGTGGCACTGACCACACCCATTGGGGGTAAAGCCAGGGGCGGAAGTGACCTGGGGAACTAGGTCGGAGGCGGTGCCTGAGAGTGCTCTCTTGTGAGCCACACGAGGACAGGAGGACATCCAGAGGAATTCTAGGAAGCAGGAACCTGTTGGTGTTCATCTGTCTATGTTGTGAGTTATTTCTCCCTGAATAAACATCTGTTCGGCCTAATTGTTTATCCTGATCCTTATTAAACCGCGAAATACGCTCCTCTCAGTGCAATGCTATTCTTACACAGCCTGTGCTGTGGTGTGTCCTGGGGGGGTCTCGGAGGGGCTGAAACTGGGAGGAAGCAGTACACTGGGCGAGAGATTTCCTTGCAAGCAGCAAGGTTAGAAATGCGCACCCTTGAGATCCAGAGGGTACTATTAAGACAGCTTCTCCCTGGATGATGGTGCAGCCGGTCCGCGCCTCCTTCAGGGAGAGGAGGCGAGTTGTGGTGCCGGTGCACAGTGGAATAGGCATGGGTCCCCGTGATCCTGGCCTCCCTGGCAGCCTAAGCAGCTGTGTTCTCATCAGTAGAGAGTCTGCAAGCTTCTGGGTGTGCATTTGCTCCTTAACCCAGGTGCCCAGCCCGTCATTAATTCTTTCTCTTTTACTAGTGGGGAGAGGAGGGAAGAGAAACTGAGGTCAGTATGTAAACTAAATGAATTCATTAATAATAAAAAACCCGAATTTGTTTAAACACAAAGAAGGAGATTACAGATAACAGGTTGGTTATTATTATTTTTGGTTTTTTTGTTTTGTTTTGTTTTGTTTTGCAACATAGAAGCTACTTTTTTGTTGAACAGATGAAAGCTAGCCAAATCTACAAACCAGATCATTATTATAGGTATGTGCACACATGCATGCACACATGTACACACACACACAGTCATCATGGCATCAGGAGAAGGAACATAAAATCCCAGACTACAACATAATAAAACAAAGCTTGAAGTAACTCACTAGGAATTTACAGGACGCAAACAAGAATATCTGGTGCAATTTGGCTTCTTAAAATATTCTTGGCCAGGTGTGGTGGCTCAGACCTTTCCTAACAGTGCTCAGGAGGCAGAGGCAGAGGCAGGCAGACTTCTGGGAGTTCTGGGCCAGTTAGAGCTGAATAGGAAGACCCTGCCCCCCCCATGACTACTGAGGGTTCTTGAGATCATTTTGGATTTTTATCTGCAACACTCCGGCTCCCCACAACACTCCGGCTCCCCACAACACTCTGGCTCCCCACAACCATGGAAGTTCTGACCACTCAGTCAGTCTGTAGAATTTCAACACAGCACAGCTTTTAAAGGAGACTATGGTTGGTACCCTCCTCCCTTTCCATCTGACTCTTACCCTTGGTACCAACGTCCATCCCTTCAGGGCAGGCTGGGTGGGGAAGTCCCCCTAACCCTGTGGGGTCCACAACTGTCTTCCGACCAGGTGTTGATACGGACACTGACGCAGAGCTGCAGCTAACTTCCCTCAGCTGAAGCAGGTCTGTGTCTCCGCACTTGGGGTCACCAAGCTTCCCTTAGCCAGAAGTAGACCCATGCCCCCACATTAGACTATTAGTCTATTGAAGCCACATCTCATCATTAAAAATATATTTCCTGAGTTTTCTCATGTGACAGGCACCCTTGAGCACCAAGGTTCATGCCAGTCCTCCACCCCTACGCCACATACATGCCTGTGATAGCACATGGTGTGTCATTAGTGTGTCCTGAGTGCAACATGCCAGCCATGAACAGTGAAAGCTGGAAGCCAGGAAGAAGTGCACTCTTCATGCACACAGCAGAAAAACGAGGCTGAGACAGAATACCGATAGACCCTGACTGAGAAAGAGAAAGGGCCGATCCCAACCCCTGAGGGGACAAAGACCAGCCCTCCCAGACCACAGCTAGCTCAGTAGTTTCCACTCCTCAGATAGACTCGGAAAGCCTGTGCCCAGAGCCGGATTTCTGTGCCCGTTCTCAAGAA